GGATATATGACGTCAGGATGGCGCAATTTGTTCTAAAAATAGAAAAATTGTCCCATATCATAGGTACGCGCGAATCCCGAGACTTACGGTCTCCGTCTCCGATTATGGCTCCTGCCCAAAGTTAAAAACGCGAGAGATCTTGGTAACACAGTACTTCATATTCCATGAATTCTAACTCGGGCTTTTCGACCTTCTCTGGTGTTTCCTTCCGCATTTATTGGAAGCACGCTGTTACAAGGGGCACCCAAAGCTACCCAACGATTCTCTCTCTACTGCTTAGCCTACCTGGAGTGCTTTGAAAGCTCTGTAGGTTAATTTTAGGCCGCGCTATAAAATTTTATCCGCTCCGTCATTCTGGGGTAACCTAAGTGCTCTCGAATTTATTTGGGCTTTTTTTGTCCATTTCCCGAAAACCTTATGTCACGGTCTTATTGCCTTTCCTAAAATCATAGCTGACCTTTTCTTGTACCCAAACGACATTTTATCAATCCGAAAACTACAGGCATTAGATTGCTCATATCACGAAAATTCGAGGTGACAGTTCACAAAAAAAATCAGAGAGGGCTAAAGGCCTTCCGAACAGAAAATTTTCCGAGACGATCCGTTGGGTTCCCCTAATTTACCATGATGGCACATCAATGCATCACTTGACTCTTCATCTTTTATTTTTACACAAGCGGTTTTTATCATTCAAAATAACTTCTGTACAAACTAGACTTTACTTATATTGACATAAAAAACAAATTCAACGCTATGACACAATACAAGAAATAGTTCAATTTCCAAGAAAACGTTCGTTCTATATACAGCTATGACGGTAATGATTGCTCAAGGCGGTAGAGGTATTCCTCTAGGGTCCGCTAAGGAAGGATCTTGCAAATTTTTCATTAACTGGCTGAGCCATCGTTTGGTGGAAGCATCATCCTTCAAACAGTTGGAAAATGTGCCATCCTTAAGCTGGTCAGGAAGGCATTGACGGAGAGCTTCACGAGCCCTAACGAGAAACAACAGAAGGGAAAAGAGGCTACCTCAACACGTAAAATAGACCAATAAGCATACTTCAATTTTGTATAGATGTACCATAAATTTATAGGTCTACACCAACGTTAAATGTTAAAAAGAACAATTATACTAGTAAAGGTGGCTCAGAGCTCTGGCCATGGTTTATTACAATGTATGTTGTGATATTGGGAAAGGCATATAACTCTTACAGTACTTCTCTCTGCCTAGGACAATAATGAATTGCTAGAATTTGTTAGGGTAGTCTAAAATAATGATTACGGGTAACCCATGATGGACAAACATCACATCCAGGGCGGGGGGATCACAAGATTCAAGATCAGTGACAACACTGACTCGCCCTGTTAGTTTAATGTAACCTTGTTGCAGAGATGTTGCCGACAAGAAACTAAATTACCAGATGTTGAAGTCATTTAATCCAACATTTGGAATATCTAACCTTGAAAGAAAGATTATAACCATATAGCTGCATCGTATTATTCTCTTTAATCTTAATTCTCTTAATCTTGGTATGACTATTAAATAAGATCTCTCCGACTCCGTTGCCTGGTTAACAATGGTTGTTGTCATTCTCAAGTGTCTTATGAAGCAGCAAAATACAATCGTTTCTCACTTCCTGCCATGCTAACTTAGCATAATGCTACAGGATTCAGGTGTAAACATACCTAGGATTGTCTGAGAGGCGAAGGTAACATCTAACAACATGTTTCAGCAGCCTTGCTGATTGGTCCTTAGCTAAAGCTAACACCATTTTCCCCTAAAATTTACATGACAAAATCAATCAGTTAATGCTATACCTCAGTCTATAAATACATGTTATTACCAGGCAAAAAAAAATAAAAAAATAACTAAAATGTCTAGACCATGATTTGCTTTATAAAAGGACACATAACTAACAATGCCACATGCAACAATCAACAACTGTGACAAAATGACTTGCTGTTTGGCTTACCAGGATCATAGCCACATGGGAAAACCTCTCATATGTTTGGCAGATGTACGATAGCCCTGTCTCATCCAGAAGTATTTTTTGCAAAATGAATGTGGCTACCTATAACCAGAAACCACAGAAAAACTCCAGTAATTACAAAAACAGCAGACATGTGCAGTCGAGCCCCTTAATGGCAGACCACTTTTTTGGTCCCACTGGACAGTCTATACATTCACTCATATCTCTCCACAACAGCAACAGCCACTATAAATTGTCTCAATTGCCCATAATTGTCTCCTCTCTACAACAGCTTTCCTCTGTCTCAAAGGTGGCCGTTACTGAGAGGTTCAGCTCTATTTACAAATACTTTAAAGCTCAGGGGAAAGTCATTTAATTCTTGTAAATTAATGTGAACAATGTGTGCCAATTGGAAACTGCTACAATGTGCCAGTAAGACTAAATCTTTAGAATTTACATCACTTACAGTTTTTGAGAGTTCACTGCCAGATTCCATGATCCTCAAGCATAAAGGAATAATCTCTGTTGTGAGAAGGAAATTTATAACTTCTGCTTCATCAGTCTGTAAAGCAACAAGACATCTGTCAGTATGCTATTCAAGAGAAGTAAACAATGAATAATGTTGACTGATACGTGTTCAGTACCTTGACTAGTGCTCCTACAACTCCCAGACTTGTTAATCTTAGGTATTCAAATGGTCTTGTTTTACTTGTGGTGTGAAGGAATGGATACAGAAACAGAGGAATGTGTGCTAAAGATCAAGATCAATTCATCAAATTAGATCAATCAAAACAGCTTCTAGAAATTAACTTCATAATTTATCAAGGCTATAAAACAAATCATTCCTGCCTACATGTATCACATCAAATGCTTCGGGTGGTATAATTTATTAGGAACATTGGACCTAAAAATACAATTCAGCAGCCCCTCTGGTTGCCAGCAGCAATTTCCAGGTAGAATGAACTGGGGACCCTAAAAGTTCAGGTAAGACTGTAATACAAAGGAGTCTTAATGGATTACAAAGTACAAAGTTGAAAAACAGAACACATTATTTTATAACAAGTTTATTTTAATATTGGACCATCTTTCTTTACATTTCCTTAGCTCTCACTCTGAAGAAGAATTCTGAGCCAATTTGATGAATGTGTCTGTGCCCCCTCATCAAAATTGTGATTACTCTTGTCAGCTAATTTCACCAGCTGATCCAGCTGAAATTTGACCTGAAAACAATGATTTGGGGTAACTTTGGTGGTGCCAAGGGCAGAAAAGGGCCAGTTTAATGGTTTATGAGCTACATCCCTGATAAACTCTCTCTCACACTCTAACTAGTTTCAGTTCACATGGTGCTATTGATCACTGAAGAGCTAACATGGCCTTTTCCTGGATAGAGAGATCACAAGTCATATAAATAAACTATTACCTTGAAGGAATGCTGATCTAGTTTCAGGATGAGAAGCAACACACTGCAGAAGAGCTAGTGCATTACACACACGATTTGACTGGTGAGCCTGGAAAATAAAGAAGAACTAAAATTAATTTTTATGCTAAGAAGATTTTCCACAATAAAAACAAACAGAAAAAGGGATTTTTCATGAAGGAATGTTTTGTCTCCTTATACATGTACACGTATGCAACAAAGCTTTCCTATCATAATTGTAAATGACTTACTGTAAGGTTAGGAGGGTTTATGACTGGATAAATATTAACTATTTCTTGAAGCAATGCTGCAATGGTTCCTGCAAAGAAAAAGCAATGTAATATTATGAGAATAAACTTGTTTGATTATGTAAAACTTACAGTACAGTGCTGGAAATATTAAGTTTATTATTGGTTAGGCTAATTTTTTGTTTGAATAAAAAAAAATGGAAAACCATGGCATTGTGAAATTGGTCCATTAGTACAGTGGGAATGCCTTAGTATGATTAGTTAGAAGTAACTGTAATACACATGATTGCTAAATAGCCTTGTAGAAGCAGTTCATCGTGTGGGATATGCCACTAAGTAGAAAACCCTTAAAATCACTAATCGTTGGATAGTCAATGTAAAATGGGAAGTTTCTATTAAATAAATTGTATAATCAATTGCATCATGGTCTGGGAGGACATTTACTTCCACTATTATGTGAAGCGGGAGGATCAGTGGATTTTGCAGCCATGACCCACAACCCACTGAACCACGCAACCAAACCTACAACCCACAAGCCCCCACCCATGGCCACCTACCATTAGGCAACCTCTAAAATATTAGTCAGTAATTTCACACATTTGGTCAGACAATGTCCAATCACTGACTGTTATTTCCAGCACATACATAACACTGTGCACTAGTTAAGAATAACTATCAGATGGAGGGTTGGACATTTTTACCAAAAGTTAATGGATAAATATTTGTTTTAAGCTTACCAAATGAATGCCACAGCATAGGTGCCAGGTCAGGAACAACTTCTCTTTTTTTGCTAAAACACAAAAATTCATCTAACTATTTCAAATGGTAATTTGCACATTTAAAAGAAGTAAAAGACAAATAAGACAAACATTTGTATCAAAAGAATATGCATCATTCTAAAACTGTGAAAGTATTGTATTTTATTGACGATTCAAAATCTACATACATGTATGAAAAACACTAGCCAAAATGTCATGCCTGGAAAGGTGAATGTAAGTGTACCAGTCTTCTGATAACCTCTGTTAACATTACACATGACTAACACTACTTTAATACACCTGGACATAATGAGTAGATAAAGTGTATTACACAGTGTTTCGGCCAGAAAATTTTACTCGAGGGCCAAAGTGACCCCTGAAAATCTTTTTTAGGGGCCAATTTTTTAGGAAAGGGGCCAATAAATTGAAAGCTACAGAAGGGAAAAATGCACCAGGGTACCAAGGAAAATAACGCAGTTTATTAGGATCTATGATAAAATTTAATAAGTGATTTTTTTTGAATCAGATACTATTATGAAGGATCCGTGCATTACAAGAGAACAATCCTTAGGCATACATTAATTAGTCAATGATCAAGGGCTTGCAATGCATCATAGGGCGATTTCAAACACGGTCATCCATTTGGAAGTTTTCCGATGAGAGAGAATCAATACAGCAAAGCAAAAGGACAGATTGACTTCTTTTCTTATGTTAAATGTTTTAGAAGCAAAGATCTTTCAATATGATTTTCTAGAAGGACATAATGTGTGACAAAATAACCGTTATTGATTGTCAACACAGAGAAATGTAGTCACCATTATGCCGTATTATGGCGACTAAACCAGAATTTTTGGTTGCCAAGGATGAAATGCTTGTTGTGTTGGTGACTGTAACAAGCACAATTTCGAGCCCTTGGATGGCTTTTAAAATATTATGCCTGTGTTAAGCCTGCAGTCTTGTAAAAGGAAAGGGCCAAATTGGCCCTTTTTTTCGTTTTTCTGGGGGCCATCTCTGATTGTAACGCGGGATTCCCACAATGGCGCGCTCTGGCGGAAACACTGATTACATATACAAAAGATTAATGATCTTTGCTAGGCACATTCTTTGTTTTTACTTTATGATTAAGAAATTTGTAACCTCAAAGCATGATTGTTCACAGTATGATTAACATGTTTGTGGTTTGAATGTATCTTTAGTATAAAATTTAGAGAAAAACAACAAAAACATGACTGTCTTATGCCAGTTTAGTTTCTATATTGTAGTTTCCTCTCTCTTATTCATTAATCATACTGTAATTAGAAATAGAAGAGGGACAGTTACAATATTCACCAAAACAAATTTCACCCACACATCAAAACAAACAAGATCATTACATTGTACCATAATATTACAAAAAATTCATGTTACATTTTCTGATGTTACAAAATGAAACAGTCACTAATCAAATTATCAAATCTTTCCAGACTTTGCAACTCAAACCATGCTCAAACACACTACTACAATTGGGAGCTTTCTACTTGTGCTAACATCCAGGAAGCACTGACTACCTCCCACACACCACCTTTTATTAGCCATTAACTAAGTCAGATCACATTTAACTGCATGTAAAATTGACTTTCAATAAATTCATTCTCATGATGAGATAGAGGAATGCTTTACATACATGTAAGCAAAGACTACCTGTACCCTTTAGACTAATGACTTTTGGTTCACTAGCAGACTTTGTGAGAGATACACATGAACATATAGGCCTGTTATCTTATTATGCTGCACATTATTTACCTCAGTTCTAATAGAGCATGTTCTCTTGTATCAGGACTTGATAACTCAAGCACCCAAGTGTATATTTTCTCTCGTTCCATTTCAGACAGGTTTGATGACTGGGTAGGGTGAGTATGAGGAGGAAACCCTCTCTGCAAATGTAAAAATAAAACAATGTTTAAAACACTGTAAAAGTAAAAAAAAGGGGAAGAGTGGAGTACAACTTACAATGTATTTCAACAGAGATCCTACAGTTAATAGTTCTCTGATTACTTGATACAAAACATTAACACACAAGACACTACACGTACATGTATTTACCAGGGTGTGCAGACATAGAACATCAGTTCTCCTGCAGCTTGCTCCTGAGGCAAGTTGTATCTAGAGTACACACTCTACTACTAGCCCAACAGTCATTTTCACTAGCCTAGCTTATGTAATGTTAATTTTCTCAAATTTTAACTTGTAATAGCCTGCAGGTTGACACAATAAAAATAATGTTCAACAGAAAAGAAACCACTTATTCTTTAACCTTCACAATCTTGCTGAAAACTAATGCAGGCTAAAAATAAAACTCAAACAGCTAGAGAAGGCAGAAGAAATCACACGATCAACTTGTGGATTAAACCTTAGAAAGCTTTGTCAGAGCCAACAAAAACACGGCTGTCGAACTTCTTAAACTTGAGTTCGCAACCACTACGTGTACCTAACCAAATCTATAGCCAAGAACTTAAATTTAAGGCAGTTAAAATGCATACTAGCCTGTTGTCCAAGCTGATGCATCATATTTCTTCGCTCGTATTCAGTTCTGTGTCCGTTTTCTAAACACACCTTCTTTCCCAAAACGCTCACAAAAAGGCAAACATGGCGGCCCACGACAATCTCTGAGCCCTTGGTTGTTTTTGGTCAGCGGTGAACTTCCGGTCGGAGTACTGGGTACTAGTTAGCCACGAAGACAAGGACACGATTGATGTCACAGAATAATATGGGGTGAAATTTTTTCTTTTTCTGATCTTCAGTTCTCTGATTTTCCTTGTATAAAATGCAGGGGTTATGGAGCTTTATAGGGAAGATTGGAACTGGTGCTGCCCAGAATTTTCCATATGAAATCGGGGATAAAGTAGGGAAACTTGAAGACAAGTCTGTTTGGACATTACATGAGGGCAAAAAGAAAGTAAGTTAGTTTTTCGAATATCTTACTGATTTAATATGCCTTGAAATTCACAAATAATAAGCAGTATTACCTTTTTTTAAGGGCACTGGAGAAACTGTGTCAGTGTTTGTTCACGATGTCAAGTCATCTTCTGAAGATAAGGTACTTGTCTATGAATTACATTAAAACCGATTAAAATTAACATAATAAGTTACATGTAAGCTTAATTAATATTTAGTCAGTTCCTTTGGCGGGACGGACCCATAAATATAAAAGGGTACCTTATAATTTTTCTTTCCCAGTGTAACCTGATGTATTTCTTAGTGCATTCAATTTTTCCCCAGCTTTAGAGACATCTTACATTTGCCTGGAGAAATACCATTATACTTATGATGCAGCTCTATTAAACATGGGTGCAATGTTTTTGATTGGTCATTACTTATACATAAAAATCATAACCATTTAGAGACACTGTACAGATCTTTGTAGAGCTACTGACATCATTAGGAAGCAGCTCTTAAGGTCTCAGATGTCAGATGAGTAGAGGAAGAATTGAATGTGTGGAGAATTTTTTAAAGCTCATTTTGAACTAACAATAATGTATTGGGAATTGTTGCCACTAGTGCAAATGGACGTACAGTTCAACTTGAAAAAATCCTTGATCCACCCTGGGGCACCCCTTATACTAGCATCATACTTTTAACCTCTCAATTGTCATAAGCTGGCACTTTGCCTAAACAGACACTACATGTATTTCATGTCCCAGGGGTTTCTGTTCAGATTGTGTAACATGTTATAACATATTGGACTGCTTGCATGATTTTTTAGATAATTATTGAAACATAGGCTCAAAAAAAACCTTGAATTCCAGCTTGGCATTGGGACAAGTACTGTAGCTATCAAATTTTACAATGTACTTGCCCTGGGCAAGTCTAGTTTTCTCTTTTAATGATTTCGTGGGCAGACGGCTGGCCTAATCCCTTGACCATCAGGTTAGTGGGAATGAAACGTTAGTGGCCCTGTGCCTCTCTCCACCCAGGTGTGTAAATGAGTATTGGTGAACTTAAAGGAGCTCAGTCACGGTATTTTGAGTTATTTTGGCCACATACAAAATTACCTTTAAATGGTAGGAAACCTGAAAATAACAGTTTAATAAGATAGAAAAACACCAAAGACATAATGATAAACCATAAAGGAACAAGGATGGCTAAGGATGGAGAAGATTGACACAGATTACAAACGACGAATTTGAAAAATTGAGGCTCAACTTTTCAATATGCACAAACAGTGACTGAGCCCCTTTAATGCTGGGGGTAGTCCTGCAATGGACTAGCATCCCATCTAGGAGGGGGAATACTTTTAGTCGCTTCATGCAACAGAAAGCAGGATAAGCTCCGGCCTAATGGGCCCCCTTGGCTCACGTGCAGGCTTAATCTTATCAGAAGAAGAATCTACTTACCCAGGACAACTGGAGACACTTTTTTCAAGTCCTGTGAAAATGGATGAATGAAAGTTTGACTTGAATCAAGCATTTGTCCAACATTCTCCAAACAGCATCCTTTATCAATACGATTTCATCTTTTTAGGGTATAAATAATAATGATTGTAAATTACATGCAAGTGTTACTACTAACAGTATAATCTCGCATGTTTGGCTGCTTCAAATAAATGATTATGTGGTTTATTAGTCTATACTGACCAAAGTTTCTTACAAGGTGAAAAAAATTGATCTATACAGTGTAGTGTATATAATATTACAGACCAATTCAGACCAAATAATTAAAATTTGCTTTTTAGGGGTATCATAAAATTGACAGGGCAATCATCTCAGGGGCTTTTGATTAAGATCTGTTTGTAACACATACAACTGTATGTGTCCCAGCCTGCAACCATCACTAACATCGGTTTCTTTTGACACATATGAATTGAAAGGAGTGGGTGGTAGGATATGATTTATTAATTATAAATTTTTGTTTTGTTGTATTTAACAACAGTTTTGCAATAAAGATTTTTTTGTGGAAGACTGGTAACAATCAATTATTACTCCACAGTTACCTCGTGATTGTTACTGAGTATTTACCTCTCAAAGGTTGCCTTCACCATCTTGAAAGGTGATGGGGGGGACAAGAAGTCCATGATTTGGTTTTGAATTTGCTCAACAATAGGTTTTTTTTTTTTTTTTCAAAGGTTCAAACTGCTAAGTTAGCACTCAGAAGACTGAAAACTCTTCGCCATCCTAATATCGTAAGATACATTGATGCACTTGAGGTGAGGATTAAGGAAATGTTACCACTGATGGCACTGTCTTAAATGTCTCCCTGTTATAACTACATTTACAGACAAACTTAGTTAAAATTCTATTGCTACATGAAGGTGTTTTATTTTCTAACCCTTAATGTGTAGAAACAATTATAACTGACATTTGAAAAGTTAAGACTTATTCTTGGTTTCTCCTACAAATCTCTTAAGTAAAAATTGCTGGTGAAGTTAATGATACAGTGGCTCATAATATTGTGTTTGTGTAGACATTATCTAAGATATTTCTATCACAGTCCACAGGGTTTGGATTTCTTTTGGTTTCAACTCTCCCACCCTGACTAAGGACTGGAAATTCCAATTAACTTGCATAATATGTACATTTTCACCAGGTTTCTATCAAGTTATAAACAATCCTGTGATACATGTAGTTTTGGAGAACTCATAAATGCTGCAAATTAAAACACTCACCTATGGCTTGTGTTCCCAATTTTGCAACATTCCTCATTTCCTTGAACTTCCCCTTATTTTAATCGATTGAACAATTAGATTATGAGCTCCAGATTTCTATCTTGTGGTAGCTGACTCGGGCACAGCCCGAGTCTGCTATCACGCATAGAAATCAAGAGCGAATAATCTAATTGTTTTAGTATAAATCTACCAGTCTTTCCAAACTTTATCTAAATCCTCTTCACAGAAGAAGCGGCCACCAGTTGGTCAATAAGCGTGCACTGCAACACAACTCACTATCCTGACAACAGAATAGACAGTGAGTGGCATAGGCAATCAGCGAATAGCATTCATGGTAGAACACTAGTAGGTTTATACTAAAACTGGATTGAAACACAGAAACAAAATGTTTACTATAGGATTTGTTAGATATTACTGGACTAGGGATAACTTTTCTTTTTCTTTCTTTTTTTCAGTCCGAAACAGTTATTTACCTGGTTACAGAACCTGTGCGGCCATTAGAAGTGCAACTTAATGATGATGACAACTCTAAGTCTGACCTGGCCATCTCTTGGGGATTACATCAAATAACAGTATGTGTGCTTAACTTTGTGTATGCTTATACCATTAATATTTCCACTCAACAATGTGTGGTTTTAGTTTTGACCTTCCTTTGACAATCCCCATGCTTTTTGTGTGTATATTTCTTTTGCTTCGACAAAACAAAATATCATTTAAATGATAGTAAGAGCAAAATAAATGCTACGTTCATGCTGGTGGTTAAACTAAACCTGTCCATTAATTTTTTTCTTATACGTAACATTTACATCTGGATCATTTACATCTTTCTTCTCTTAACCTTGGGAGAATTTTGCTGGAAGTAGGAAACAAATTCTGAATTAACTTATTACTTGTTATCTTAATTTTCTGCAAGAGGACACAAATCTTGCAGAATATCTGTAACAGAGCTCGACTTTGTGACCGCTGGTGTCGCTAATGGGACCAAATTTTTGTCACTGGCAACTAACTTTTCATGCTTTTCACTGAAATACTTTTGCTGGTGACTAAATCTGAAAACTTAGGGGCTAGCTGACCCCAAGGTTTTTGCCTGAAAGTTGAACCCTGTATAAGTGACCAAAAAGTATGACTTTAATTTATAACTATAGTTTTATGACTTTTTGTCTGAACTGCACATCACATGCTTACTGCCCATTGATAATGTTGTCTCCTCAAAGAAGAGCAGTGCAGTACATTTATTAACTGTATATGTTTTCAAGCTCAATTTTGGAGATCATTAAAAACTTTTTGTCCATAATTGTGATGGTACAGTGTAGATTTCACTTTTTCTGAATTTTAGGCTGGCCTCAGCTTCCTCACAAATGACTGCAGTTTAATTCATGGTAATGTGTGCATGGCATCAGTATTTGTGGATGTTGCAGGGGAGTGGAAGCTTGGTGGAGTAGAATACCTGAAGCCTGTTGATCCACCTCCTAACACTGAAGAACCTGATCTACCTCGTCTACCAGTGCTACAAGTCTATGAACCTCCTGAGGGAAGAAAATTTAGTAAAGGCAACAAAAAGATTGAAAAATGGTTAGCCCTCGCAATTATTATTTTATGAAACATTCAGTACTGTAAGCTGTGCTTTCAGTTGATTTACCATTCTGTAACTCCTCCTCCTCCTCCTCCTCCTCCATCTACATGTAGTCACCTACACCCCCTTCTCCTCTCTCCTCTCTTCTTCATTCACACCACCCCTTCCTTATTCACCTTTCCTTCCTCCTCATGATTCACATCCACATCCTCCTCTTGTTTCTTGCCCTCTTTCCCTTCCACTTCTTCCTTATCCTTGTTTTCCCCACCTCCTCCTTTCATTCCCATCTCCTCTTCCTTGTCCATCTCCTCCTCCTTCTGTTCCTCCTCATCCTCATCCTCCTTCTCTTCCAACATGACCACCACCACCACCTCTTTATTCTAAGTACAGTTACTGTAGAACATTGTCGTAGTCAAAACATGATATTTATTTAGCTTTAGAGGGTGAACATACATGTAAAGTTTGTTTTCAAGTCTGCAGAGTGTGGAGCTCTGCCTTGCTCGACTAATGCTTGGCTATTCTCCAGTCTCTGAACTTTGTAGAAGTGTTGCTGCTCCTTTGCAGTGACAATAATGGTGCAATAGCCCACTTGCAACAGCATTTTTGCTGTAATGCTCATCTAGCAATTTTGTTGATACTTACCTGTATTTATACTCATGGCACTGTCTAAGAAAAGGCTCCTGCATAAGAACACAACACACAGGGTGCTTTCCATTATGTCAGAGTGACCAGTCAGAGACCAGTGGGAAATGGAACCACATTTTCTGATTTTCTGATCAAACCAGGCCAACCAAGAGGAATGGTTCTTACCATTTTTTATTCCTCTTCCAGATTCCCTAGACGTAAGTGAAGAGAAGTAGGGCAATGAAATGGTTTGTCAAAAATGGAACAGTAAATTTTGGTCAGAATATTCCAACCAAAATAAGTGGACAACTTTCAGAGGTGATCCTGAATATTCCAGTCAGAAAGAACTGAAAAGGACCTCTCTGTTTGATTTCCTACCGAAATTTCCAGAATCTTTGGCATAATGGAAAGCGCCCACAGATTCAAGCCAGATCTGACACCATCTAATCCAGAGATCAGTGTACTGTCAGGTCTTGATACATGTACCTCCTAAAAATTAAATTTAATGTACTGTGTTGTAACATTTGATAAATATTCCATTTATGAACTTGTACAAGATTCCTTGGCTATCGATTCACTGTTTTTCTAATCCAAAATTGACACCTTGCAGGTCAGCAGATATGTGGGGTCTTGGATGTTTAATATGGGAAGTCTTCAATGGCTCTTTGTCCAGAACAGGTTCCCTGAAGTCTGTTGGCAAGATTCCAAAGAGTCTTGTGCCAGATTATGTACAGCTTGTGGGTGCCAACCCTAAGAGCAGACCAAACCCTGCAAAATTTCTACAGGAATGTCGAGCACATGGGCATTACCTCAAAAATAGCTTTGTCGATGCAAACTTATTCCTGCAAGAGTTACAGGTTTGTTTGTTGTGTTTATGCTGAAAGAATGCTGCAGTCACATACCTTTTGAGCATTGCATGTACCATATATGTAGTTATGCGAGTCGATTGAATTACTCGCTTGAGTAAGGAAACCAGTGCTTCCTCTGATCATCATGTCAGTTACTTGTGACTACTAGACTAAGTTCATTGTTCCATTTCAGGTCATGTCATTTACTTCTGCTTTAAAATGTTAATCATTCTTCCACTTGAGGTGTAAATAATTATTTTAAGACATCATTTCATTGGTCTATAAGGGTGTAGACCTTTGCACTGATCAGACTTCACTCAGCTTGGGTCAAATGTACTGCTTGTAAACTTTTCAAAATGTCTGAAATCCTCCACCTACATGGTAAAAGTGAATTAAAATTGCACCCACTGGAAGGTTGAATTTTTTGTGCAGCATATGCATAGGGAATTAATAGTGAAATGTTGTCTATCAATCAGTACTGACGTTAACAGTCTATTGGATAGGTTTAAACTTAGTTTGCCACTGCTCTTCTTATTAATAATGTTTTGCATTTTTTTGTCTTGAAACTCTCACTAATCTCTAACAAACTTTAACGGAGCTCAGTCACGGTGTTTTGTCTCTTTTTTTTTGGCCGTGTACAAAATCTCCTTTAAGTGGAAGGAAACCTGAAAATAATAGTTTACTAAAATAGAAAAACATCAAAGAGATAGCAATAAACCATAACGGAACAAGGATGGTCAAGGATGGCAAAGATTGACACAGATTGCAAAAGACGAATTTGAAAAATTAAGCCTAAACTTTTCAAAATGTGCAAACCGTGACTGAGCCCCTTTAAGGCAACAAAGATGCGAGTGACATTGCTTTTTCTTCTTCTTCTTCTTTTTTTTTCCTTTAGCGAAGTGCAAAAATGCCATGACTCTGATTAAAACAATGTCTTTATGTTGTGAATAATATGAAAACTTTCTCCTTGACTCTCAAGAAATATCACTGGCTACTCTCATTGGACACACTTTTCCTATGATGAATAGATAATATGATTCTTTACTGATGCATTGCATTATGTCTGTTAAATAGATTAAAGAGCAGAAAGAACAGAAGCAATTTTTCCAGTCACTCAGCTCCTCATTGGACTTGTTTCCTCAACAATACTGCAAACATAGAATCCTTCCTCAGTTGCTGAATGCTTATGAATATGGATCAGCTGGTTCTGCTGTCTTGGGACCACTGTTTAAAGTAAGATCATTATAATGTCACTTGTCATAGCAAAATCACAAGTGACAGAGATTAAACCTAGTATTTGACCCATGTATGTACGGTTTTTTCATGTGTTTTATTCATTAGTCTTTAGATATCGCAGGTCTGTTAAAGTGAGTAAATTTTTAGGTAAATTTCCAGAGCTTATTCTAGTTTCAGTTCCATGTAATGAGTAGGAGCATAAACTACTTCCTCTGCATAGCTGAGTACCTACAATCCTGACCAAAAGGACACTTGACAAAATGGCAACTGATAACGCATTATTTTGAAGTGAGAAGTCGTTATTTAATTTGCTGAACCCCCCTCCCCCCCAAAGCAATGTTGGAATAGTGGGGTCTGCTTTGGATGAATCAACATCAACATTGTATTGGGGGTGGGGAGGGGGAGGTGGACAGAAAGACCATTTGTTGGCAAAAGTGCAAAGTGTCCCAAGACTTTTGACCAGGATTGTAGTCTATCACAGGTTATGTACAGTGTATAAACAGGTACAATTTCTTTTGACCGTGATTTGCCGCTTGCAGTTAGTTTATACTTCTATCTGTATTCTTGCAGTTTATCTCACCCTTGATTGGTGAGAACACAATATTCTATCAATATTCCTGGTGCATATTGTTTAGCAACTTTCACAACTGTATATTAAACTTAGTTCATTTGTGGTGTCCTCTATCATGCAGGTTGGGAAACTCTTGGAAGCAGATGAATATCAACAGAAAATAGTACCATGTGTGGTGAAGCTGTTCTCATCCACAGACAGGGCCACACGCATCCACCTACTACAGCAGGTCTGGACAATCTTTCACTCCAGTTATAATGGAACCTCTCTTTTTTTTTTTCAAACCCCACTAAGATTGAACCCTCACAGCCTATCTGCTCAAGGATTTAAAGGGACAAAGTTACTGTGATTGTAATAATTTCTCAATGCCTTGAAAATATTAATTTTACAATTATGGATATTCCCTATTTCGTTTTGTTCTGAATTCGAGTCTTCCCTAGCCCTGCACACCGTCCTACTCCCAAGAAGACACATGTGTTTCATTTCCATTTCTTTAGTGGTCCATTTCACGACCATTTGAAGGTCTTCTTGGGTACAGTGTGTGTAGAGAGGCTCAATCATACTAGCCTTCTTGAATTGACGATTTGGCATGTGGTTTGTGGCTCAGTATTGCCTCTGATTCACATGGAGTTGCTGGTTGGAAAACCGATGGAGTAAAACTGTGTTACGGTGTCATACACAATTGCATGATCATAACAAATGTAATGTAAGGCAATTACAACATACAAAACACGTTTAGTTTGACCAGTAACAAATCAACTGTTGGATGTTCTTTTTAGCTTGATAACTTTGTACAACACCTCAAGCCATCGACAGTGGATGAGCAGATCTTTCCTCATGTTGCTCTAGGGTTCGGCGACACAATCCCAGCAATGAGAGAACAGACAGTCAAGGTACATGACAAATACAGCTTTGAGATTTTGCACAAGCAAGATAGGAGCTTGTTTCATCCTACTGTGCCCATTACAGATTTTTCCACAATTGCTGCTAATCTCGCAATCTGATTGGCTAATTTGCCGTTGTCGATAAGAGTCCATACCACGCTGTTCGCGTCAATGTGTCGCGTAATGCCTTTTTCAGCTCGCGCTCTGAAAAAAACATTTTCTTTGACGTTGATATTGTCATGAAAAGCAAATCGAAATGTGGTTTAGCGTGGTCCGTACTCTTATCGACAACGGGTACGCGTCATTGCTCTTTTCTCAAACATTTTTTTCTTATAGTTTCTGCATGTTGAGCGAGTTTGCAAAAGTTTTTGAAAGGAAAGTGTGACGCGTACAAGTAGCCCATTTGCATAGTGCAGCCCGTGCACTTTCAAGTCCGAGTCNTTCTCCCTATCTTGGGTAAAAGAAATCACAGAAGGAAGAAAGGCCGGCAGGGCAAGGAAAGGAACTGTAGAATCCTTGCCCAGAGCGCACCATGATCGGAGAGATTTTGGATTAATATGTTTGGAATAGAAACGCGAAATCCGTTTTCGGATTTAAGAATCCAATCTTGGATTTTCTTAAAGGAACGCACCCTAAGTTTGATCGAATGACAGATAACGATCTGCGACTGAAGTTGAATTAGCGATGAATAAATTATAGCCTGCGGTAAATTAATTGTACTGGACAAAATAATTTCCAGGAAAGGCATTTGGACGGTTGGCGACACTTAGAACTCAATTTCAGATCGCCAACACTTGTTACAAATATTTCTTGAGACCCTGCAAGACAGCGCGTCGCCAAGTGTTTTTAAAATTTGTGGTTTTATTTGTTTACATTGCTCGAATTTTCCTTATTGCAATACAATCCGTTACACTAGAATATCAACAGCAAGACCACAGTCACTATAATTATGGTGTTTTATTTTACACAAGGTGTAAATTGCATTGCCTCAAACTATTTTACAGTGATCATATTATGTATCAGGAGCCATTATCGGGGACGGAGACCGTAAGCGCGCCATTTCTAGTATTGGGACTGTCCCTATGATATTTTACCACAATTGCTGCTAATCTCGCAATCTGATTGGCTAATTTGCCGTTGTCGATAAGAGTCCATACCACGCTGCTCGCGTCAATGTGTCGTGCCATGCATTTTTCATCTCGCGCTTTGAAAAAAAAAAATCTTTGACGTTGATGTTGTGGTAAAAACCATATCGAAATGTGGTTTAACGTGGTCTGTACTCTTATCGACAACGAGTACGCTTCATTACTCTTTTCCTAAACATTTTTTTCTTATTGTTTCTGCATGTTAGGCGTGTTTGCAAAAGTTTTTGAAAGGAAAGTCTGACGCGTGCAAGTAGCTTATCTGCATAGTGCAGCGCGTGCACTTTCAAGTCCGAATCGGTGTTTTCAATTGTCAACAGTCCACACCCAACTAAATATGTAACAGAAGGGGCCAACAAAATATAATAATGAAGAACTTTGCCTCGCTGAATCCACACAGAAAATGATATTTGAGTTCTGAGCCCCCCAAAAAAGTTGAATCAATGATCTAGGACCAGATACAAGTTGGACGATCTCGCCACTGATCTATTGACCCAAAATCTGTAAGGTGGTACAATCGTGGCGCACCCATTGCGTACTCGCACCCGGCGTGCTTGGTCACGAGTAATAAAGCTTACTTTTGCTTGAATTTTCGTGTCGCCATGTTTGAACACCAAATAGCTGAACTAAAGAAGTAGACGTAGCTGTTTTTTATCATGTCGTATTGTTTACCTGTTTAAATCGGAACAGTAGGTAAGGGTTTTGTGCGTGTTATTTTTGACCTATTGGTTCTATTTTTCACTGATTCTCAGGCTATTGGTGTATTATTGTAGAAAACCTGAGCTTCGACTTAATTTTGGACTGGAATTGTGTTTTTCGACGATTCTTTCTTACGTAGTATGTGGACGTAACAAAGATTCTTATGTCACACGTCTCTTGCTAAGTAATGATAAAAGCATAAATGAGAATGCATGCTCAGTACTCCAATACGCAAGTCACCATTCCACTTCTCATTATCTTAAAGATGTAACATCAGTTTCGTCACCATGATATGAAACCAGCTGAAAAAATACTTCGGTTAATAACAGCATGATTCTCTCTCATATAAATCGTTGTCGAATCCTGAATCTGAATTTTAACTTACATTAGGTGATAACAGTAATTTTGCCCATAACCATTGACAATCGGAACANAGGCGGGCCACATCTATATTTATATTAAAACAAAAAGGTAAATAAATAAATAAATAAATAAATAAATAAATAAATAAATAAATAAAAATAAGATTGTTATGCAGCTACTTATAGAAGGATTTACAAAACCGTTTAATACAAGGACATTTACATATTTTGATTGACACTAGGAGCTATGATTTACTAGAGATAAACTAAACTATGGGTTAAAATTAATCAGGAACTAAATTCGTAGGCACCTTCCCTCCACTAGCGACTTGGGCGTTAAAAGAGTGATAATTAACTAAATATTGCAAGACGGATTTTGTCAAGTGTGATTATCTGGCTGGAAGTAATCTTGACAAAGACTACTTTTGGTGACTGAAGTAAAGACAGCCTCCTTAGTTTACCAACTGCTATGAAACTATGTTGTTTGGGGGATGACATTACATTCTGGCATTTTCATTTGTTTCAAAAACGTTGTTTTGTTTTACTTTGTTTTTTGCAGTCTATGTTGCTTCTTGCTCCAAAGCTAAGTGAAAAGACAATTAACAATCAGCTGTTGAAATATTTTGCTAAACTTCAAATGGATCAGGAGGTACTGTATGGAGGCAGCGTATGTTTCTTGCTAACAACAGTGTCGTTGTGGAGCAGTTTTCACTTGATTGTTGAAAAAAAATGGTACTTGCTTCGGCTTTGTATTACATTTAGCGATTGGCTTTAAAAATCTCACGCCTCTTTGTCAACCGTCGGCAATGTTCGGACAATAGATGGAAATATTCACCAAAACTTCATGAATGTTTGTTTCATGTTATGCGGCCATGGCTGCTTTACCGTGTTGCTTTCTTTTTCCTATTCGTGTCTTTTTTCGTGTGAGTCATTTTTCTTCGTAATTACGCACTCCTCTAGAGAAGTGCTTCGTGCAGTATATCAAACAATCTAGTCTTTCGTACTTTATTTCGCGTTACTCCACTCTATAACATTGTGTTCGTAGTGAGTAGCCAAGAGAGAATGTCCTTTGTTGATACAAATGTAATGACTTGTTTTTCTTTATAGCCTGGCATCAGGACTAACACCACTGTGTGTCTGGGGAAAATTGCAGTGAACCTCCCACCTGCTGTATGTACAGTGTATTATAGTGTATAATTTACCCTTCATCCAGTGTGCAATGAGTTCTTAGTACTTTTTCATGTATGATTAAATACATGGCCTGAAGCTGGCCTGAATATTCAAGTTGCTCAAGCTGTTGAATATTTTATTTCGGGTGTGCCAAGACATTTCTATTCAGTGAAAGGAAGATTATCGGATCAATCAGAGAACTCGTAGAACAGTGGAGATGAATGTCCTATCATGGTTGCAACAAACTTAACTAATTTCAATGACGGTACTAAAGGATAGTTGAATTTGGTTGTTGCCAGTTTGCAAAGAGAGTTTAACTTATGTGTTCTTATTGACTTATTGAAAATTAATACTTTTACGTATTTTTCAGACCCGGCAGAAGGTCTTGATACCGGCATTCTTGCGGGCGTTACGAGATCCGTTTCCTCCTGCTCGCACGGCAGGTGTGATGGGCTTCCTTGCTTCAGCAGAGTATTTCAGTTTAAAGGAGAGTGCCGCTAAGATCTTACCAGCCTTGTGTACTCTGACGGTGGATCCTGAACGTAAAGTTAGGGACCAGGTAAGGTTATGCAGAAACTTGCTTTTATCGTGTTTAGATAAGGTGTGTATTGTTAGTGAATGAAGTAAAATTAATTTTGATTTTCGTCTGAGTGATCTGTCAAGTGCTTTTCCGTTCAGCAACGAATACTTACAGTGTCTTTTTCGCTTACTAAGCTCCTCATGGGGTCTTTGGGTACACTTGTCTCATTGAAGTAGTGTATTAAAGTTGAACTAGTTCTCGACAACTGCTTAACAACGATTACTGTTAATCCGTCAACTGCCATTTTTCACACAAAAGCGTGGGTAAGGAAAGTATCGTTTGCAGCAATACAGTATTTAAGCGGTATTACGCATGAGACCACTATTTTTAGCCAGTTATTTGCGGGTCACGTGGTGGGCTCTCGGCCAATGAAAAGGAAGAGAAAATGCGTCGAATGATAAGAAAAGTTGTTTGTTCTGCAGGTTTTTAAAGTTATCAAGGTGCTTTTGGCTAAAATTGAAAAAGCTTCAGAAGATCCTGAGTCAGCTGTGAACCAATCAGGTGAGTGGTGTACGCTCTTGGTTGGCAAAGGAAAGGGTTTGCATTTACGAACGTGCATTCCTGAGTATTTTGCATTTTAAACGTGAAATGAAAACCTTCCTCTTAAATCAATTTTTAATGTCATAAATTTTATATGTAAATAGTGTTTCAATAATTGTTTATCGATAATCTTGGAGTATTTTTTTAATTATCTTTATCATTGTCTCTAAAAAGCCCCCATGGGGAGTTGACAATAAAATTTGTATTGTATTGTACGCGTGTATGAGAGCACGGCTGTCATGCCTTGCGGTGGATGTGTTAAGTGCCGCTCTAACAGTTTGGAGTCGGTATCAGCACTGCTCTCACTCGGACTAGAACCGAGACAAAGTTTAATACTGTGGAGTACGTGCTTCTCTGCTTAGCAGGGACTGTGTATCGATGATAATCTTGCCCAAGAGCACTGCAAGTGAATGAAACGTACATGTGGAAAGACCCGCAGCAGGTACTAATGGGGTGCTCAAGGACATCTTCAAGGAATGTTTCAAAATTTACAGTAACTTAAATTGCCTANATGAAACGTACATGTGGAAAGACCCGCAGCAGGTACTAATGGGGTGCTCAAGGACATCTTCAAGGAATGTTTCAAAATTTACAGTAACTTAAATTGCCTAATCCAAAGGAGACTAATGGAGCCTTAAGATATGGGAAAGGGCCTGAGAAACAGATGGTCTACCCTCCCCGGCTTCCCCGCCCCACCCCGCCCCTGCAATGCATTGCTTTTCGCTTAAAAGCAAGATCATTCTCTTACATGAGTTTATTAATTAGAAGGTGAGCAAGCCCCCGAGACAGGTGCCGGCGGCTCTTGGACAGGATGGGCTGTCAGCTCCCTAACATCAAAACTGTACCGAGGAGGAACTGCAGCAGGTGGCGCCACAGAACCGGCTGACAAAACTGTGCCTGGCAAAGACACAAACGCAGGTACGAGTGTCTTCAAAGTAGTTATACCTACAAGTAGATTTAAAAAAACAAACTTCAAACAATATTCAACAGAAAGTCTGAATACACACGTTAGGGGTTAAGTCTTATCTCCGGTTTTAGTAGCATAAAGTGACTGATAGTACTGCTTCCCTCCCAAGACATGATGCCAGGCCAAGTAAGGTTACCTCCCTTTCCTCAAAGTTTTTTCAGGGTATTACCTTTTTTTTGCTTTTGGGTGAGGAAGATTTCTGAGAAATAATTGTGATACCCAAGAACACAACAGCTACCTAATTGTTCCCCTTCGAGTGTCTTCACTGAAAGACGATGTTGATATTTCTCTCAGCAGACACAACGGCTGTCAGTCAAACAACAAGCACAGTGTCTCCAGAGACTAAACAGGCCACAGACAAAGACAAGGGTCAAGACTCGGGAAGTGATTATGGAGGGGACTGGAGCGAGGACGAGTGGAATGATGCTCAGGTAAGGGGAAATGACTCTCTCCCTATGGGGGGGGGGGGGGG